TTCCTGTAGAACTAAGGGTCTGAGAAGGAGCTCAGGAAGAGCTGGCCTCGCCAACCACTGAATGACCCAAATAGAAAGGTGAAACAGACACGCTCAGGAGCAAAGAGGCTGCTCCCAAGGGACCAGCAACAGCAGCCACCGGCTGGGAAGTAAAAAGCAAGCAAAGACTCCAGCTTGAGAAGAAAGCAGCAGGAGCACAGACGAAGCAGGCAGGCAAGGACCTGCACATGCAGGGCTGCGGACCTGGGCATCAACAGAGAATTCAGCATGAGACTTAAGCGCTGCCCTGCCCTTGTTCAGACCTAGGTTTATTGTGCCCAGTCTCCAGCAGAGGCTGGATGGGGAGCGAGCTGGATCCAAGCAGGGTTTTCCCCTGCTCCCCTCTCCCTTGCAGCCTCCAGCACTTGGGGTCTAGGAAGCTCTGAGACTAGGGCCCTTCAGCCATAAGTGCCAAGGCTGTGAGACTTGATCATAGCTCAGGGAGCCTGGCTCACGTGCTGCGTGGTCCGAGACATGCATCCTTCGGGCTCGTGGCCGAAGCAGGCAGCTGGGGCACTGCCCGGGTGACAGCACGCCTCTCCGAGCTCTACCACCGGACACGGATTTGAGCCGTTTTCTGTGGCACACCTGGACACTGGGAGGCTGCTTCCAGGCGCGCAGACTCGAGCAGCCCCAGTACCGACAGCGACGGCAGCCCGGAGGCCAGGAAGGCTCCCACGCCTCCCCACAGCAGCACCTGGCAGGGGTGCCCGTGCCCCGGTGAGACGCTGCCCGTGCTCTGCTCTGCTCCAGGCTGCTCTGGGCTTTCTGCAGGGCTCAGTGCAACTAGCCCCTCTGCTCCACCCCAGCCCAGAGATGGCCCCGAACTGGCTTAGGGCATCACCCTGGGACTGGGGAAGCTGGAGGTGGTGAATTGGAGGCAGCTTCCTTGAGCTGCCTGGAGCAGAGACAGAGGGAAGGGGTCAGGGCTGCTCTACCTTCCCCAGCACCTGGAGCTGCAGCTGTGACCCAGGCCCCTGCAACTCGCCTGTGCTAGAAGCTCCCCCATCTCCCCCTCGCTCAGGCTGGGGACCGGTCCACGCACCTCTGTGCATGCCAGCATCCTGCAGGGGCCTGCCAGGGGTGAGGGAGTCCAGTGCCTGCTGCGGCGGAGAGCCCATGGTGCTGCTGCGCATCCCAGTGACCGCCCAGCCTTGGAAAAAGGGCATCTGCAAGGGGAAGAGCATGAGATGCAGTGTCAGCACCTGGAGATGGGGGCACAGGAGCCTGGCAAGCAGGGTAGGGGTGTTTCCAGTGAAGAGCCAGGCTCAGACCACCCCCTTGCTGGCTCTGAACTGGCTAGGGCGAGCCCAGGGCCCTGCAATTCAGCCAGGAACCCACCTGGGACACCGGGGCCCAACTTCAGCCCAGGGCTGGCAGCAGGGACAGGGGAAAGAGCCATCCAGCTTGGACGTGAGATCCCCCTTCCTGGCCTGCAGCCACATCCCAGGAGGGGAGAAGGAGGCACCCCCAGGCCTGGGTCATGGCCAGGCTGGGCAGGGGGGAGGCATGCTGGGGAGAGGGGGATGTTTTACCCACCTCCTCTTGCACCCTCTGGCCCTGTCCAGGGAGAGGTGCCCAGGGGGTGCAGGGCTCCTGCCCAGGAGACCGGGGAGTGGAGGGGGGGGCACCTGCAGAGACAGCAGGGCTTAGCCCTTCCTCATGTGCATGGAGACAGGCAGGCCCCAGCCCCCCGCCCCAGGATCCTGCTCTAGTGTAGACAGGGGCTCTGGCCAGGACCCTGCTCTCTAGCCTCATGCCCAGGCTGCAGCAGCTCCCGCTCCCCCTCTTACCTCCACCTAGCACCAGCTCCAGCCCACAGCAGCCTCTGGCCCCCAGCCCCAGGGCTCTTTATAGAGCTCTGGTCCCACAAGGCCCTGCCCACTGCTGTAGCCCCACCCCCAGAGTCCCACCCACTCAGGTAGCCCCACCCCCACCTGCCCAGGTGTGTCTGTCTGTGCCTCCCCACCCCCCGCTGCAGGGCCGTATGAGGGGGTGACTGCAATGCAGCCTGCTCCCCTGCCCGCGCACACGTGTTGTGCCTCTCCCTGGAAGGGTGCAGAGATCTGGACGTACCAGGAGCAGCAGAGGCTTCCAGTGCTGCCCCCAGGAGCTCAGTAGTGCCTGCGGAGGGGGCTGGGGAGCCCCTGCCTCTGCCTCTGCCTACTGCCTGCTGAGCAATGGGGCTGGGAGTCAGCAGCTGGGGCGAGGCATGGGGCACACTGCTGCCGGCAACTGGCGCAGGCTCTGGGCACACTCAGGCAGTGTTGGGTCTGGGCCAGCTCTGGGCAACCCCCAGGGCTTTGGGCACAGGCCTGGGCTGGGGCCCTCCTCCCTGCCTGCAGCCCTTGGCCCTCGGGGCTGTGTTCGAAGAGGGGGCGAAGGA